GTAATTGTCATTACCAGTTGAAAAACTTGAGCAAAAAAATTACCATCCATATTTAGGGACCACTCAAGGAAATCATTTTGGGTGGATCTACCCTACAGGTCACCAGCAGAACCAGCCAGGTTAGCAACTTATCAACTTCCCAGTCATTTGTCAACTGATATTACAGGCGGCATTCCGAGCCGCATCTAGCTCCGTTATTGTACTAACAGTCCGATCCTGATTACTGGCTAGATTTATGATACTTCAGCCACTCCCAATCTGGAACTGAAAGAAATATACACAGGGCTTCAGTAGTCCAATCCCTTCTAACTTGTTTCCACAAACTTGTGCAAAACCTGACTAGAAACAGTAGGGGAGATGTTGGGTATTGTAATATACAAGAACAAGAAAGTGGGCATTTATGGGTGGGGATAGGAAGGTACAGTAGTATCCTGGAGATGAGACAACTAATTTGCTGATGGTGAGTGGAAATCATAGTTTCCGTTAGCAAATATTCTACCACTGGCAGTCCATTTCATTTATATATTTTAAGTGCAATGGACTTGTGAGTCTTCTTATAGGAAATATTCAAAGCCTATTCAAATATTCTTCGAAAATATCTGCTACTAAGTCATCAGAGATCTTGTAAATTCAGCTTATATGTGGCATTTGATCGTAAAGCTTATGAATATTAAAATGATTAAATTTTCTGCTTATTACAGGCAAAGATCCTCTATAAGGATATACCTTTCTCAGAGGATGAGCGTGAAAATATCAAGTTGAAAATCCAGACCAATGTGTATGGCTATCTTGGTATACTCCTTGAGGGCCGTGAACGTTTTGAAGAAGAATTTCTGAATGACATTGGGAAAAGTAATTTTAATGAGACTGATCCTGGGGGTAAGACTTATACAGATTCTCTTCTTTCTGTTACTTCTTTTTTTCTCTTTATCTAGAATCAGTTAGATGTATGGACAGTGGTATTAACTTGAAGATTATGATTCCTAATGGCAATAAGGGGACATAATCTGATCTTCTCCATAACTGCTCATGAAGGA